TCTGTACATATTCACCCTCTACCCCAAATAAAAGGTACCCATTCCCAGTGCTTGGGGAGCCATAGCTTTGTGAGATTATTCCCCATGGTATCCATTTTCTTTGCTGTATGCCGCAGATAAAATTTCTGCTTTGTGTGACGACTACTTCTGGTGTTGTTTGATTTAAATCACCAAAAGTGGACTCATGTTTGGTCCAGTGACAAAACTAGTAATATCATAGATACATCCTTCATATTTGAGATTATGACAGAGATTTTTAAAAATCACTCCCCTTTGAGGGTTTAAAAATAACTTTATTGAGGTACAATTGACGTATAATAAACTGCATATATGTATATATGAAGTATACAGTTTGATAAATTTTGAAATATGTATATTTTAATGGAAGTATTACCCCCCAAAGTTTCATGGTACCCTTTCATAATCCCTCTCTCCCACCTCTCTACACACCTTCCCAACCCCCCCAGACATTCATCTTCTTTCTTTCATTATAGACTGGTTTGGATTTTCTAGAGTTTTATCTAACTGGGATCATACATTATGCACTCATTTTGTCACTTCTTTTACTCAGTGTAATTATTGTGAGCTTCATCCGTGTTGTTGCATATAGCAATGGTTCATCCGTTTTTATTGATGGATAATATGCTGTTGGTAGATATTCCACAGTTTGTTTTTCCACTCACTTGTTGGTGGACATTTAGAATGTTTCTAGTTTTTGGCTGTTTATATATAAATAAAGCTTCCTTTAACAGTCATGTACAGGTCTTTGTATGGATGTATGCTTTTTTTTTCTCTTGGGTAAATACCTAGGAGAGGAATGGCTAGATCATATGGTAACTATATTTTATGTGTTTAAATTTTAAGAAACTGCCACACTTTTACCAAGTGATTGTATCATTTTAATTCCCACCAACAATGTGTATGCAATTCCTCTACATTCTTGCAGGAAGTTGGAATGGTCAGTCTTGTAATTTTCACTTTTCTAGTGGATGTGTAGCAGTATTTCATTAGGGTTTTAATTTTCATTCCCCTGATAACTGCTGATGTTGAACATCTCTTCAAGTGCTTATTTGCCATCTAGATATCTTTCTCTAAAGTGCTTAGAATGTGTAGTAATTTTGCTTGCTTTATCTTTTTACTAGTAATTTATATCTTTTCCTGATAAGTCAAGCTAGAGATTTATCAATTTCATTGATTGTCTAACCAGCTTTTGGTTTCATTGAATTTCTTTATTCTGTTTCTGTTTTTTTATTTACTTTATTTCCACTCTGATTTTTGTTATTCTATGTATTCTTCTTCCTTTGGGTTTAATTTGTCTTCTTTTTCTTAAGTTGTAAGCTGAGATCATTGATTTGAGATCTTTTTTCTTTTCTTTTTTTTTTTCCCTTAAAGATTGGCACCTCAGCTAACAATTGTTGCCAATCTTTTTTTTTTTTCCTACTTTTTCTCCCCCTTTTCCCCCAGTACATAGTTGTATATTTTAGTTGTGGGTCCTTCTAGTTGTGGCATGTGGGATGCTGCGTCAGCGTGGCCTGATGAGCGGTGTCATGTCCACACCCAGGATCCGAACCAGTGAAACCCTGGGCCGCCGAAGTGGAGCCTGTGAATTTAACCACTCGGCCGTGGGGCCAGCCCCTCTTCTTTTCTAATACAAGTATTTAGTGCCATAAATTTCCCCCTAAGTAATGCTTTAACAGCATCCCACAAATCCTGTCATGTTGCATTTATATTTTTATTCAGTTCAAAATACTTTTTCATCTCTCTGTTTGTTCATAACCCATGGGTTATTTAAAGGTATGCTATTTAGTTTACAAATAGTTGAGGATTTTCCAGAGATCTTTGTTAATGATTTCTAGTTTAATTTCATTCTGGTCAGAGAACATAGTTTGTATGACTTGAATCCTTTTAAATTTATTGACACTTGTTTTATGGCTCATAATATGGACTATATTGGTAAATGTTTTGGATGCACTTGGAAAGAATGTGTATTCTGCTGTTGTTGGTGGAGTATTCTATGAATGTCCATTAGGTCATGTTAGTTGATAGTGTTATTCAAGTCTTCCATATCTTTGCTGATTTTCTGTTTACTTATTCTATCAAGTATTGAGAGTGGGGTCTTGAAATCTACAACTATAATTGTAGATTTTTCTATTTCTCTTTGCAATTCTATCAGTTTTTGCTTTATGTATTTTGAAGCTCTGTTATTAGATGCATAAATATTTAGGAATTCTTCTGTATTCTTGGTTCATTGACCTCTTTTTCATTTGAAATGATTTTCTTTGTCCCTGGTAGCATTTTTTGGTCTGTAATCTAATTTGTCTGATATTAAAGAAGCCACTTCAGCTTTCTTTTGATTAGTGTTAAAACATGATACATCTTTTTCCATCCTTCTATGTTCAACATATTTATGTCTTTATAGTGCATGTCTTATAGTTGAGTTTTGCTTTTTAATTCATCTGACAATTTCTGCCTTTTAATTCAGGTGTTCAGACCATTTGTATATAATGTGATATAATTAAGTTCAAATCTGTAAGAAATCTGTTTTCTATTTGTCGGATCTGTTGTCTTTTTCCTCTTTATCTGACTTGTTTTGGATTAATTGAGTATTTTTGTGATTCCATTTCATTTCTTCTTTGTTATTTTAGTGTTTTCTTTAGCTTTGAAAGTATACATTGTTAACTTATCTACCTTCAAGTGATATTATGCCACTCCTGTATAAGAACTTTATAATGCTTTATATGCGTTTCTTCCCTTGTGTCCTTTCTGTTAGTGTTGTACATTTTAGTTATACTTTGCATAAACCTCTCAAATATTGTTATTTTTGTTTAAATAGTTATCTTAAAGAGACTTACGTAATAAGAAAAATGTGTTATATATTTTACCCTTGTAGTCATCATTTCTCTTGCTCTTCCTTTTTTTGTGTTGATCCATATTTCAGTCTGGTATCATCTTTCTTCTGCCTGAAGGCTTTTCTTTAAAATTTTTTCAGCTTTTTATGTCTGAAAAAGTCTTCATTTTACTTTTGTTTTTGAATATTTTCATTTGATAGAGAATTGTAGATTGACAATTTAAAGTACTTTAAAGATGTTACTGCCCTCTTTTTGCTTGCATTGTTTTTCATAAGAAATCTGCTGTCATACGTACCTTTGTTTCTAGTCACATGAAATATCTTTGTCTCCCCCCATGGCTGCTTTAAAAATGTTCTATCACTAGTTTTGAGCTATTTGATTATGGTGTGCTTTGGTGTAGTTTTTCTCATGTAGCTTTTTTGTATTTGGGATTCTTTGAGCTTCCTGGATCTGTAACTTTTTTAGTTTTCAGCAAGTTTGGAAAATCTTGGCATGTGTTTCTTGTCTCCCATTCCTTTTTTTTCATGGACTCCAATGTCATGAATAGTAGAGTATTTAAGGTTGTCCTGTAGCTCTTTGATGCTCTTTCACTTATTAAAATTCTTTTTTCTCCATTTCATTTTGCATAGTTTCTAATGCTTCAAGTTCACTAATTTTTCATTTGCATCTAATGTTCCATTAATTCTATCTAGTGTATTTTTAATCTCAGACGTTGTAATTTTCAGCTTTAGAAATTCACTTATATCTTAGTTGTTTGTAACTTTTTGAACATATGAAATACAGTTACAATAATAACTTTTAATGCCCTTGACTGCTGTTTGTTGCCTCTGTGTCAGTTCTGGGTTGTAGATTTTGACTGGTAGCTTTTTCTCCTAATTATGGGTTTTATTTTTCTATGTCTTTGCTTGTCTGGTAATCTTTGATTGTATATGAGATACTATGAATTTTACTTTGTTGAATGCTGCGTATTTTTGCATTCCTATAAATATTCTTGAGCTTTGTTCGGGGACATGGTTAATTGGAAACTGTTTGATCCTTTTGACTCTTGCTTTTAGCATTTGTTAGGTGGGCCCAGAGCTGCATTTAGTCTAGGGCATATTATTTCCCACTAGTGAAACAAGATCCTTTATACTCTACCCAATGCCTTTTGAATTACAATTTTTCCTAGTCTGGCTGGTGGGATCTGGCACTGTTCCCAGGAATGCTGAATACTGTTCCTCTAAATCTTTGGGATAGTTCATTTCCTGACTGTGGGGAGTTGCTTGTTGAATACTCAAGGAGAACTCTCTGCAGTTCTCTGGGATTCTCTCACTGTGCAGCTCTCTCCTTTGTAGCTGCCTTGGAGTTCCTGGACTCAGCTGTGTCTCCTTCACTAAGGAGTCCTTCAGGCTCTGCCTAGGTTCACCCTCTTTGCACTGTAGTCTTGAATCTTTCTTAAGGCAATAAGCCGGGACCACTTTGTATGTTCACACTCCCTGCACTGTAGTCTTGAATCTTTCTTGAGGCAATAAGCCAGCTCAACTTTCTATGTATTTATTTACAACCATATAAGTAAATAAATTACTTGTTGTGTATGCCAGGAATCTGACATTGGCTGGAAATTTCTCTTTTCTTTTGTGAAGCTTCCATAGTATAGGTTTGGTCTATGATCTTAGTTGTAAATTAGTTTATGTTGTCTGACTAATTCTGAGTTGACTTTGCAAAAGAGCACATGATCTTTGTTTTTATTCTTTGAGTGCAGTTAAATATGTCATTTCCTGGTTATAGTTTCTTAGACTATCAATAACTTATCACATTGAATGAGAAGGGTTTCCACAGATGTGTAGAATTACAGCCTGATTTTACTATTTTTATTTATTTATGTTTGTTTCCTTTTTAGAATGAGTATGTGAATATTAAATAATGAAGAATAGTTGAATTATATTATTTACCTAATTGTTATGGAGACTTTGATCAGTTATTATTATAACTGCCATAGGCTATCATGGCATTGTAACAGAGAATCTTAAACTATTGATTTATGGTGGATATGGAAGTTCTGTTTTTTTAATTGGAATCATGATTTTTTTGGTACTGAGGGCTTTGTTGAGGTCAGTTAAGGTATCATTTGAGTCTTGATGTTGTTACTTGCATTGTACCTATATTTCATAGTCTGACCTGTTCAAACAGAAGTAGTACAGAGGATGAGTCCATCCATATCCTGAGTGTTGATGAGAAGAACAAGTTGGGAGCCAAGATTATCAAGGCAGAAATGATGGGAAATATGGTAAGATTTATATGTTGTTCTTTTGGAAAATAGTAATTAAATATTTCTTACGAGTAATTTTGGAAGTTCTTTGCAGTGTGGATGTAGCACACTTTGAAAATAACTGCTGCTTATTGATTGTTTAAAGAAATTCTGGAACACTTCTGAAAACATAACTGTGTCTGCTTCTAAATAAATTATCTACTTTGTCAGGTTTCTGAATTTAAGAACCTAGAAAACTAAATGCTTTTTAATTTCTTTTTTACTTTGCTATTTGCTTTATTCTTACCTTTCTAACTTACTGAACATGTTTGATGGAGATAAAGATGTTACTGTCTTCTTTCCATTTTTAGCCATATATTATTAAGAAAGTGTATTACTTGCTTAAATTTTCTTACTTAGGTACCTAAAAAATGAGCTCCTAAAAAGAATGGTTAATTCATTTACTCAAATTTTGAGGCAACATGTTTGTGCCTGATAATGTGTTAGATGCTTTGTATAGGTTAGTTTATTTAATTCACATAGTAATGTTGTGATTTAAGACTGATTTACCTCAGAATTGACTAGAATCAAGGATGATTTGGTAAAAGCTGCATCTACCTATCTATCTGTTTATTTATTTGTTGTCTTGTCACATTCCTGTTATACTAATACATGTTACACTGCACATGGTAGAAGAGCAAAGCCAGACAGCTTTCCATGTCTTGACAGAGAATTGATTCCCTCTTGGTCATATGTATGTACTCATCTCAAACCCAAGTATAAGTGATCTTTAAGTAGTCTTCTGTTTTGGCATACTATCAGTACAACACTCTAGTAGAACAAAAGGTGGCCAAACAAGATACTTCTGTTTTTATTAGTTTGTATGTGTTATAAAAGGCATGTCTTGCATATGCTGCTCTCCCTCTTTGAATCTGGTCCTTGATAACAATGAACTTGAACTCAGAAATTGGTGAGAAAGACAAACCAACAACAACAACAATAGCAAGAAAATAATGTTTGAGTTTTGAAAGCACAAAAGAATTAGTTACAATAGTGAGAGAGAGGTCACCAAGTTAGGAGGTTAACTTATGTTAAAAGAAATGTTCCTGTGTTCATGGAACCATTGCAGTGGAGGATGCTTTTCTTTGCTTGTCATATAAATCTATTTATTTAATTTATTTCTTTGTGATCTATTGCTTTATATGTCAGTTGTTTTATATAAAATTCTGTTGACTTCCTAGAATAAAAATGAAATATATTCAGAATTTTTATCTAAATTACTTACCAACAATAAAGAAGGTAATATTTTAAATCTTGTGATGCTTTCCTTGTTATAAATAACTGAAATTTTGTGTATTGGAAATTTATAATATCTAAGGAATTATAAAAATGTCATTCTTAAGGTTATATATTTCCTGCATCTCTCTATCTCCCCTAAAATATGTGTCTTTGTAATTATTTACCTTCAAAGCATAAACAAATGCCACAGGTATTTGGAAAGTTTGTAACTGAGATAAATTCATTAAAAAATAATATTCTAAGCTATGAATTGGTAACTGAATTTAGGTGGTGGCTACATGAGTGTTTGCTATGCTGTTTTCCTTTCTCCTGTATAAATTTGAAATATTCTACAATGAAGAATTAAACTATGCATCACACCTATTTTTCTTGCTTTTCTTTTTGAAGGAATTAGCTGAACAGCTTAAAGCCCAACTCGAAAAGGCAAATAAATTCAAAGAATCTGTAACACAGACATCATCAAAAAAATCTGGGGTAGAGGTAAGTAATAAAAGTTTGTTTGTAGGTATACAATTAACCTAGTGTAATACTACTACTTGGCAGTGGTAATATTTTAATATAAAATGTGTCTATATTTGTGTGGTGTGTTTATGTGGGTGTGTGCTTGTTTGCTAGCTTTTAAAAACTTATTTTCGTATGTATTCTCTTATGTTCCACCAGTGTGTCTTGATGGAGAACAGCCTAGCCCAAGGAGACTTGGTTTTATTCTGGACTCTGTCATTTACTGACTGTTTGACTTTGTACTGGTCAAACTGTTCTTAAATTCTTCCCCTGCAGAATGAGAGATTTGAGTTTGGTATCCATTTCATATAAAACAAATTATTTTGTTCCATGATTCATTCATCCATGTATTAGTGGACAAAACAGATAAAAACACCTGCCTACGTGGAGTGTCATTTGGGTAGGGAGAGAGAGACCGTAAATGTTAAAAATAATGTTATAAGCATATTAGAATGTTAGACATCCTATGACAGGGTAGTGGGGATCTTGAGTGCCAGGTGTGCTGGTGACTTGGGGTACAAAGGCAAATTCTCACTGAAAAAGTGACATCGGTGCAAAGACTTGAAGTGAAGTGCTGAATGTATGTATCTGAGTGACACTTTGGACATAGGAACAGAATTTAAAGGTCCAAAGATGGGAACATGGTTGATGTGTAGGAAGAACAGCAAGGAGACCAGCATTGCTGGAGTGGAATGAATGAGAGAGAACGAAATAGGAGATCCAGGGTGGAGAGACTATGAGAGGCCAGTTCATGTTAAACTTTCATATAAGGGAGTGGGCTTTTATCAGGATGAGAAGAAAAGCTGTTAAAGGGTTTTGAGCAGAAAATACATTTTGACAGCACCATCATGGCTTCTTTGTTAACAATAGATTGAAGGAGAATTAAGGGCAGAAGCTGGAGTCCAGCTAAGCTTTTACTATAATACACATGAGAAATGATAGTGGTTTTGATCAAGGTAGTAGCTGAGGAGATGGTTAGAAGTGGTTAGATTTTGTATGCATAAATGTTTTCTGTATGTATTTTGAAAGGAGAACTGACAGGATTTTTGTGATGGTTTAGATGGGAGAGGAGCAGGAGATAAACAGAGGAGGCGACTCCAAAGTTTTTAGCCTGAGCACCTGGAAGGATAGAGTGGCTATTATTTGAGATGTAGAGGAAAGGGGAGGAGTAGGTTTTGGGGCAAAGATTGGAAGTTCTGGTTTTGATGGATTGAGTTTGGATGTCTTTTAGATGGGGAACAAGAAGAGATGATAAGTAGGCAGGCGAATATAGTTGGAGGTTGGGAGAAGCCTGGGCTGGAGATAGAAATCGGGGTGTTATTAACATATAGATAGTATTTAAATCCACACTACTGCATGAAATCACCATGAAGGGTAAATGCAGATAGAAAAAGGTGAAGGGCCGAGTTGGATGTGTTACAGTGTTGAGAGGCTTATGGTGAGGTTTATAAGTGATTTTAAAGGACTGGTCTCAAAGATTGGTTTACATGATTTAATGTCAGTGTGAGAGGAGATTAGAATGTGTGAAGTCAAGTTCCATAGAATTTTCTTCAAGTTAACATTATTAATGATTTAGATAAAAGTGTAGAGAGTACGTTTATGAAATTGGCTGTTTTTACTAAGTTGTGCTAGCTAATGTTGTTTAAAAGTGGATAATTTAGAATTTCTTGCACAGATTAAGGAATTGAGAATGAGAAACTATAAGTAGGATTAAAAAGCAGGGACTGAAAGGGGATAGCTAAAACTAGGTGTACGTTACAGTCCGTCTTACACACTTTTGCCAGATTTATTTTTTCAGATGTCCTTGTGGTCATAGTACTTTTGTACTCTGGAATGTTTATGTGATTTCTTAGTGCTAACTGTATTAAATACTAGATCTTCCTGCAGTATAGCCTTCCACAGTAACCCCATTTTCCAGCCTTCCCTCCAAGCCTCTCTTACACATAATCTACATGTCTCTCTGATATTTACATATGCTATTAATTATCTTTGTAAGCTATCACCCTCTTGAGGCTCATCTACTTTTTGGTATGCCTTTACCTCCTTCAGGAAGCCTCTTTTCTAGTCCTTTCAAACAGTTTGTAACCTTTTCCTCTTTTGAAATTTCAAAGATCTTTAAAGTATTCTCAGTGGAATTTATCTTTTCAAATTATATATGTTTGTATTCTTGTCATCACCCTCTAATCTATACCTGTCTTTTTCCTGACACTCGTCACTTTATATGAAAGGGTTCTAAAGCTCTGGCTGGACTTCAGGGGGTTCTTGAAATTGAAAGCAGTTCAACTGAAAAAGATTGAAGCAGCTCTTCCGGTAAATAACATTTCTTCTGCTGTTTTAAGGATACTGTAGAGTAATTGACAGACTATATCTCATCCCTTGAGCGTGTAACTCTAAACTGTTACTCATGTCTTTATGATTTTTAGCTCCTCCTAACTTTTGAGCATTGGACCTTATAACTCAGTGGAGTAGAATTCAAAGTTGTATTCAAAGTAGTATACAAAGTAAAATTTCTATTCATGAGCCTCTTTTGGAAAGTGTGTAGCCCTTTGAATCTTCAGATAGAAAGGTTTTTATTCTAAGGATTCTTTGACCAGAAAGAAAAATTTTATTTTCTCTGCAGAGATGGGACACTTGCACATTTAGTTGAAGCTTTACTAGGCATATGCGTAAAACAGTTCGGAAAGAATTCTCTGCTGCCGTTAAAGTTATTTATTCCATCAGGGCCAGAGCCTTGACGTGTCTGTCTTTCAAAGTAGTTTTGTTAAGAAATGAGAGCAGAAAACAAAATTGTTCACTGTAGCACAGAAATGTTCTGACTTTTTAGAGGAAAATCTTGAAATACTTCTGATAGAAATTTTGCCCTTTTAGAGAAGAGAAAATCTCATTTATAGAACAGTCTGAACAGGGAGGAATCCTTTCATTTCGTAGCTTATTTATTAGAATTGTTAGGTTATATGAACAAGATAAATCTCTTGATTCGCCAACCTGTGAATATTGTTTTGGCTTTTGTGAAAAACCATCAGCACTTGTAGTTATTGGTTTGCTTATTTCTCTTCCCCTTTAGAAGGTGAATTATTTAGTTTTTAGAACAAGGGCTATTTCTTTCAGTTCATATCTAGTAGCCAGGGTAATGCTTGGCACATTGTAGACAGCCAAGAAATACTGGAAATATTTGTTGTTTGAATGTCTTCGATTTATTTTCTTCCCTAGAGTTTTCTATTATAAATCTTAAAAATGATCCAAGAACTTTGAAATCCTCTATCTGGCCTTTCTACGAGTGTAGCTTCTTCTTTAAACAATAATACAACTATATAGAACCTCCATCTAACTTGCTTTTGGACATTGAGTGATGAGATCCATTGAGTTTTGGAAGAGTGCCAGTTCTATATCAGAAAAAATCTAATCTTAATTCTTTAGTGTGTTAGATCCTAATCTGCCCTTTTATAACTTCTACTTGTTAATACTTCAGTGGAATCATATCATGGACACATTTATGGCCATGTGTGATTCTTTGAATTGTCTGAAACTTAAGTTATAAAGTATGATTTGGTTTAGAAATCTTTGCCATCTGAGCATTATAGGATATGTTTAATAAAGAATTATTACCTTAAGAAAACCAATTTGCTTTTAATTCCTTTAATAATATCTTATTTTTTACTTAGGTTCTATTTCTAAATTTATTTCATTGAATTTCAAGACAATGATATTAATTGACATCTATAGTAAGACTACCCTGGTTACCAGTATTATTAGTAATAGATGATATTTTTTGAAGGCGTACTATGTACCAAGACTTGTGTTAAGCACTTTAAATATAGAAATTCATTAAATTCTCATTGAAACTCTATGAGGCCATTTATCCTCATTTTTGAATAAATTAAGGCAGAATGAGCTGAGTCTCAATTAAGTTTTAATTTGATAGCAAGAAATAAGGTTAGATATTTTTGTGCAATTTAAAAATATTTAAAGTAAATAAAAATTATTTAGAATAATTGCTTTGACTCAGTTTGATAAGCTAATGTTTGAAATATAAAAAGGAAATCTTGCCTAGATGTTGAAACCAATTTTATATGCAACAGTTATGCAAGCTCTAAACACAAAAACCTAAGTTGTTTAGAAATGCTCACACAATTAAATAGAAAAATTTCTATTAAAGTGATTTTGTGTATGAACTTGAAAAAATAAAGTATATTTTTCTTTATTTTTTCATTCTTAGGTGACTTCTAATTATAATATACACTCTTTGTAGAAATGTGGAAAATGCAAGAAAAATATAAAGGGGAAAGTAAAAATCCACCCATATCCTACCATTCAGGGATAACCCATGCATAAATATTTTAAAGTATTTCTCTCCAGAGGCTCTTCCTTCTTTTCTTCCTTCCTTCTTTCTTTCATTCCTAGTGACATGTTAAGTATTTTTGTGCAGTTAACGTAACAAAGCAAAAAAGAAAACATCCACATTCTTTTTATTTTTTTGATGTTTCCCTCAAGTCTCTGTCCATTATAAATATGTAAACACATGCATAATTTTACATAATTGTAATCTTTTTTTTTGTTTTTTCTACTCATTCTGTCAGCATCATTTTCCATGCTGCACAGTATTTATCATTAAATGAAATTGTAATCATGTCAGTGTATTCAGTGTTCCAATAATACAATTTCTAAGATTTGTTTAAGGAAAGGAGACTGAAGAAATTCAGCATAACCTATTTTTCCTGAAAATTTGCCTGCAAAAACCAAGAACAACAACAAAAACTCTTCTTACAGTTTCTTCAGCAGTTGCTCAAAACTTTTGCCATTCTCCCCAGATTTCCTGCTTTATTCTAAGTGATCACTTTGCTTCCTACCTCATTGGGCACATAGAGATTGTAAGTTTGGGGGCCAGCCTGGTGGTGCAGCAGTTAAGTGGTTAAGTTCGCACATTCTGCTTCGGTAGCCTGGGGTTCGCCAGTTTGGATCCCAGGTGTGGACCTACAAAC